TTACCAACATAGAATGGGGCCCTACACCTCTGTCCTCAGTTTCTCCATCTGTAAAGCAAAAGTATTTAGTTTACAGAGTTCTTACGGGGGATAGATGCATTGAAATACTGAAGCTTACAGAGTTAAGTTTAGGAAAGCATTAGTTGCTATGGTGTGTACTATCACTGCTTGCTGCTATTATTATCATTGATATTAGGAGGAAGGAATCACTCCTGCAAAGATGGAAGAGCCTACCATGACAAATGGAAATTCAAGGCACAAGTTCCATCCTGGTACTCACTCCCTCCCCCAACACACCCACAGACAGACACTTTGAAAGAGTAAGAACTCAAAGCAAAGTGCCCCTGGGTTCCTGATGACCTTCAGTAAAGGAGCAGCCACACTCTGAAGTGGCCACCTGTTCCTGTCTATAGCTCTCTGACTTTATGAACCAGGAAGAAGGAAGGAAAGCATGATAATACAGAAGAACAGTTGAGAGTTGTTAACAAGTCTTCTCAAATACAGCAGGAGTGTGTGCACACACCCAGGACCTGGGTCAAGCGCTCACACATATGAACTAAATTCTCAGGTTGTGTGGCTCACGTGTCAAAACAATGGACAGGAGCTAAGCACTCTCCTTTTGCTCATCCTTGGACACTCCCCCATTATCTGTTCCAGCCTTTGTTCTCTCAACACTTGTAATAGCTCTGGCCAAGTGTATTCACAGGGTGTTTAGATCCACCCTATCACATCCTAGCATTTTCATTTGGGGTATATTTGGGAAATATTCCCAACAGAAACATCAAATGAAAGACTTCTTTCATATTTATTGGGGTGGGGAATCCACTCAAGGAGAAAATTCTGAAAGTGGGAACTTAAGGGTTAAGTGATACAGGAGGTAGACCTGATGTGGCCAGAGAGCCCTTGAATTTGAGACAATAAGAAAGTTCACACATCTGTGGGTTAGAGGCAAGCATGGAGAAAGAGGCCCCTTAAAATGTTTATTCCAGGACTGCCTCTGGGCACCAACAAAGGGAATAGTGCCTGACCATATTTCAGCAGGGGCATGTCGTTTTAGTTTAACTCTCTTCCATCCAACCCCTACGGCCATCCATGGAGACTCACCATTAAATAGTGTGGAGGGTGACAGTCTAGGGTGGGGCGGGATGGAGTCCTAGAGGTAGGGTGCTTGGAAAAGACCTAGACCAGAGGATTCAGGATGAATAAGTACAAAACCTGTGTTCAAGAATGTCCTTGGTACAGTGGCTGGGGTCAAAACTTCCAGTTGTCATGTTTCCTGCCAATATTACAATGAGTGACTCGACAATGAAGGAAATTGTTAAGTGTTAAAATTATGCAAAGGATGGGAAACGATGCAAGATGGCTATGGTGAGGATCTGCCGGAGGAAGCTCAAAAACACAATCCCGTGTTTGAAAGCAGGAGGCACACTGTCAGTTACTCAAGAGTGTCCATCAGGGGGAATATCTCAGAAGCCTTGATATTTAGTTATGTCCTAAGGGGAAATAAAAGCAAAAACAAACTAAACAAATGAACCAAGAAGACAAGAGTTGGAGTCTATGGAACGGGCTATAGGAAGTAACTAGCATGGTGGTGATTACAGTGCAAAAGGCAGGTGAAATAAAGTCTGGATTCAGATGCTACTCAGCTCCATGATTTACCAAATGTATAACTCTAATCAAGATCTCAACCTTTCTTGGCCTCAACTTCCTCATCTATAGAACGGGAGTGTGTCGTTCAGCTCAGAAAGAGAATTAAATGAGCGGTCTAACCCTTTTGGTTCAGGGCTGGCCCAAAGTAATTCACCTGCAGAAACAGAAGCCATGCTAATCCTTGAGCCCCTTTATTCTCACTCTAGCCATTATGAAAGTGACAAGAAGGGTACTCTGAGAAATCCAGGCTTTGGGGTGGCATGAACTTCAAGGAGGCTTTGGTTTCTGGGTCTTCAAGAGCCCTTCGGGTAGGCAGAACATGTTGGCACCGTACAATGTACTAGCACAGGGGGATGTCTTGTACCTTGGCTTATGCAATATGAAGATACATTTCCTCCAATTCTCCAATGTCTGCCCATCCCACAGCTTTATGGCATGAGTCACATCTGGTCTGTAAATAATGGATCCCAAGGAGGAAGAACTAAAATGCCAGCAAACTTCCACACACCCCTTCCCAGCACATAGCTGGTGAGGTCCTGTATATTCCTTATGAGAAAAATTGTTCCCACAACCAAATCTTCCTCCTCTTTCTTTTCCAAGTCTCATCTTGGGGTGGGGGAGGAGAATAAAATGACAAGGGAAATTCCAGGTTAAACAAAAATTGGGTGAACAGCATTTGTTTGCACAGGTCAAAAAAAAAAGAAAGAAAAAAGAAAGAAAGAAAGAAAGAGAGAAAGAAAGAAAGAAGGAAAGAAAAAATCCAAAGCCCCTTTAGTGCCACAGAAAGCAGGGCTCACAGGAGCTTAACACACGCGCGCGCGCGCGCGCGCACACACACACGCACAATCACCAAGCCCTCCAAGTGCAGTTTCTCAAGCCAGGGAAGGCTCAGAACACAGGATCTTCTGGACTCAGACTAAATCTCCTTCCAGAAGATTCCAGCTCCTGGGTTTGGAGATGGAGGTGGGGGTGGAGGTAGGGAAAGTGTGCCTCTCTTTTCAAACAGCCAGTGGGTGACCCAACATCTCATGGAAAGATCCCAAACTTCATCACAAACTGTTTTACCTTATACCCTTCGCTTCACATCAGTGGAGCCAACTCTCTAAGGGCTCAGTGTCCCCCCCAGGAGACTACCAGGTAAAATGTCACCTGTAGCCTCCATCTCTGACAATGAGGATGATGTCACCTGTGGTCACAGAACTGCTCCTGGCACTGTATGGCCACGATGATGTAGGGAAGAAGTAGGGTTCTGTCACTTGCTGTCTCCACACAAAAAGGAACAGCACTTGGGTTGGGGGAACTGCCCGATTTATTTTAAAAGGAGGTGGTATATAAATAAACCAGGTAAATGGCAGGGCTGGAAGACATCCAGGTGCTTAGAGTTAGGGGAGATACCCTGCCGAAGATCAAACCTATGGTGTCCTACACTAAGCTATCCTTAGGGTGGTTTAGGAGTCCTTTAGTGGAGTCAGCTATATTCCTTACCCTTTTGGGAGGGGGATTAAATTAAAAGGTCAGTTTTTTATAAACTACTCCTAATTGCAATGACTGCATCTTTTCTAATTGTCCAATATCCCCTCAGCTTACCTTGCGGTTCTAGCCCTCCCTTTGAAAGCTCACAGCAGAACTCTTAAGAGGCTCCCCTGAACTTTGAATTGTTCTAATTTCAGCTCAGTTTGGAGGCCAAGAAACTAAGGGCTGCCTTTCAAAGCAAGAGTGGAGGTTTTTCATAAGTGCATCTGACTTCTGGCCTTCTCCACTCTACCAGATCTGTGCATCTCAGCAATCAGCACCACAATTTACCTAATGTCATAAAAAGAGAGATAATCACAGTGACGATTACACTCATCTGGCTCAAAAGCCTTCTAAAAGTGAAGAAATGGGCATGCCAGTTGTTCTGGAGTGCACAAGCTCTGAAATGGGTGATATGGTCGGTCTCCAGGAGCACACCCAGCTCTTCTCATTGTCTTCATGATAGCAATGACTTTTGGCTCTTGTCTGTAACCACTGGAAATGTAGATCCCCAATGTAGCCTTTCCCCTAAAACCTTAGGGGGGTTGCTAAAGAGTTAAGAAGTAGCTTTGCTTCTTGTCTATGCCCTACTTCTTTCGGTAGAGGAGATGAGGGAGAAAGTAATAAGCACAAGCCATTCATGGAAGGAAGGTGAACATAATAGAGATGCCAAATAATTTACAATTAATAAATCTTGAAGAATGTGGGGAAGATTCATGTGCAAGAGATAGGAAATGGTCCAGGATCATGCATTGAACAATTCTTCAAATTGGTGTGTGTGGCATCTCATTTACCTGCATTAAAATCATGTGAGATGAGCAGAACATACAAGTCAATCCAGTTGACGAAATAGCTCCTGGTCACATGGGCAATCATGGTTACTCACAAGAATCTAATTGATCTTTAATACTTCTAAGGCAGAATAGAAGTACATGTATTATTAGCCCAAAACTCATACAGAAAGAGTGCTATGCTTCAAAGATATATTCAGAGGCAGGATGCTTACTTTTGTAGGGCCACGTGCCTGAAGGATTGTTCTGTCAGTCTGTCTATTCACCTTCCCATTAATATTGCTTTAAGAACAAAATTTCAAGCTACAGCACAAAGCATTTGTGTTCCTTTATAACTATGTTGCTGCAACAACGACAACACAAGTGTTACCTGAACAACTGACCCTACTTTGCATACCAAACGACTTCATTCCCTATAATCCAAATCTCCTGTTTGAACATGGAAGCTGGCCGAACTTCCCCAAGAGAAGAGCATTGTTGTTTTTCAGCTGCATTGATCTGCTGACATCCATGAAATCTACACATCCCCTACCAAAGTGACCCCTTTGAAGTGGACACCACTGAAACCGCTGTGTGGTTCTAGTTTATTAAAAATTCAGCTGCATTAGTTCATAGCGGTACCTGAATGGATAACTTCCTCCCAATATTTCACAAGGGCACCCGACAAAACAGGAAAAGGAAGACACTGGGAGACTTAACATCTTCTCCTCTGCAGACAGCAGTGCTGGTAACTGACCCCTGTCATTCTTCAAAGGACTGTGAGATGTTATTGTGTACTGTCCTTTGTATTCCAGCACATCCAGCAAGTCACAATAAATGCTAAAAGAAATATTAACCATTTACTGAACCACACTTTTTTGTTTGTTTTAAGTTCAGTAACAATATTGAAGTTCTGGCTTTTGTTCTATCTAGTTCTAACTTCCATCAGAATGGTCTGAGGTAAATATCTTTTTCCTCTTTCAGAGGAGACATGATTAGGTATTATGTACTCTCAAGTCACCGGACTAGCTCCTTCATTGTCTTTTCTGGTCTTTTTCTCCTTCACAGGCAGTATCGCTGCCATCACCGTGACCGTCATCGCCGTGGTGTTGTTGGTGTTTGGAGCTGCAGCATATCTAAAGATCAGGTGAGACACCTCTTCCTCCTTGGAAAGAACAAGATTCCATTTGTGAGGCTTCAGGATGAACAGGCTTGTTTTGTGATGGGCATCTCATCCCTCAGAAACACAGGCAAGGAAGTGAACATGGCCAGGAAACTAACCCCTCACATCTAGTCTAGGGGTGGACAGTTTGTAGAATGAAACACTGAGTATGTGGCATGCTGATGTCATAGGACAAGATTTACCTAGAGTCTGGGGTCTCTATGAGATTTTAGCTCCTTGGGCTGACCTAGGGGTCACTCAGCCCTGGCCCTGCCCACTGCATCTCAGTCCAGCTCAGGCTCCCCTTCAGTTCTCAAGATGCCAACCCTGACTCCCTGGCCTTGGTCTCCCATGCTACCCCATCCCCGCTGCTTCATTTGAAACTCCTGCTTTCCTCGGAGAACTTTCCTTTCGGGTTTTAGGCCCTGGCATTTATCCTTTCTGTTCTTCATTGCTTTCATCCCCAGTACTATCAACGTTTGTTATATTTTTTCATATATATTGCACTTGATTATTGTCTTTTACTCCATAAATATATGAGCTGCATGAGCCTTGGTCTCTTGGCTAAGCTCAAAAATAGACCGAGGTGAAACTTGGAAAAGTAAGTGACAAAGATAAGAGTACACATCACATGTACTGTGTGCATACACACACGTGTGCATACACCATATACACAAACACACACACATACATTAGACATGGGTACACACACACATACCATATACACATGTACACACACACATACCATACAGACACACACAGACATTAGACAAAGTCACACAAGTATATCATATATACATATACACAGACATTAGACATAGACACACACACATACCATATATACATACACATATACACACATCAGATACAAACATACACATATCAAATACACAGACACATACCATACAAGCATACACACAGACATTATACATAGACATATGCACATACATTCATACAGTATACACATATACACACATCAGGTACACACACACACACACCATGCAAACACACACAGACACACATAATTAGACACATGCACACACACACACACACACACACACACACACACACACACACACTCCTGTCTTACTTCTTTACACCATAGCTATGTTCTTTCCTCCCAGAGCATCTGCTGCTCCTACCTTATCCCCGTGTTTGTCCCCTATAAGGACACATCCCCTCATCAGTCCCCTCATCTCCAGTGTCACGCCAGCCCAGCACCCACCAGGGAATTCACCCCTCTTCCTTCCCTTCTATTACCCCATCTTTGTTACCACTTGACATCTGATCAATCTAATAAGGTGTCAGGAATGAGAGCATCACCTCCCTCCAGGGTGCAAAGACAGAAGAGGACAGTTTTCAAGGAAAAGGAGGAACAAAAAGGCCTGAGTCATTCATGTCCAAAAGCCTTTATAAAAACACACAGACAGTGCCTTCAGACTAAACACACAACAAAACTTTGTCTTCATTAAGTCTGAATTTCTTTGAATAGCAAACTTAATTTTATAAATCATGTGGTGTGCCGCTCTAGTTTAACTACTAGTTTACTGCTATATTTTGTATTTATGAGTTAAGTAGCTTCATTGCTACTTTGTAACAAAGAGTATGCTAAAAATGTGTCCCTTCCCCCGCCAGAGGAACTTACAGATAAATTATAATCATTTTTTCAAATCACTAACAGTGCTGTTCTACAGAACTATTACACCAAAAAGCCATGACCTTGGCATGAATGTCATCCTACTTGCCATATTCACCACACACACATACCAAAAAAAGATGCTAAGATCAGCTAAAGGACTCTGCCTTGACTTTAAGCAAGAATTCAGATTTACCATTTCAAACAAACACTGCCTTTCTGCTGGCTTGAATGGTAATTGAATATTCAGATTCTAGATGCTGGGGGATGTTAGTTCAAGTCCCAGTTCTGCCATTTTATAGCAGCCTGTCCCTGTTATGGCAAATCATTAGCCCTCACTCCCTCACCTGTGAAGAATGATGGGCATATTGAAAAAATGAAAGGATGCTGTGTGCCAAGAGCAAGTCCTTCTGCCATCATCATCATAAGGGTAAGCTGGAAAGAATCTTGGTAACATAGTCATACATACAAACACACACACAGAGAGAGAGATAAATACACATACACAACATTTACTGATCACCAGTCATGTGGCAAGCATCTCTCTAAACAATGGGATCACCTCAGTGAAGCAACAGAATCCTGCCATCACACATAGAAAACGAGCATGCAACAATGGGATCACCTCAGTGAAGCAACAGAATCCTGCCATCACACATAGAAAACGAGCATGCATTACATCTGTGCACTGATGAAAACCACATAAAATGCTATTCTCTTCTTTATTTTACAAATATATTTTAATAATCTTTATTTAAATTAAAACCAATCTTATTTTTACAAGCCAATCCCAGTTCCCTCTCCCTCCCATCTTCCCATTCCCCCCCCAATTCCCCATCCCACACCCTATCCACTCCCCAGGGAGGGTGAGGCCTGTCACATCAACTTAGGCAGGACCGAGGCCCTCCCCTCTGTATCTAGGCTGGGAGAGTATCCCTCCATTGGGAATGAGTTCCCAAAGTCCATTCGTATACTAGGAAGAAATACTGATCCACTACAGAGGCCCCATAGATTGGCCAGGCCTCCCACTGACACCCATGGTCTGGGGTCCTGGTTTGGTTCCATGCTGGTTCCCCATCTTTTAAACTATTTTTCTCCCCAGTCATAACACTGGATACATTTGGGAGTAAAACTGAATTTCTGCTTTTCCAAATTGAGATGGTCCACAGTAGTGTGAGCATAAGGGAACTGCTTGTGTGTTCATCTGCCCACACTTGGCACAGTAAACTTAAGGATAAGCTAGTCACATCTATACACTAGAAACTCCCTAAGGAAAGCCCCTTCCTACTTCCCCGTTACATTTGGTTGGGGGGGTCAATTGTTTATTTTCATGAGTCTTAGGCAAGTATTATCTGGCCAGATTCTTGGAAAATACCTCTAATTGATCCTTTATCAAAAAAATATAGTCAACTCCATTGATGCCTGACTCTCCCCGTGTGTGTGTGTGTGTGTGTGTGTGTGTGTGTGTGTGTATTATATGTATATGTGTCTCTCTGTGTGTGCACATATGTGTGCCTACATGTGTATAATACTACACTTCATCTTGCCTAGAAATTTGTTTTGCTTCTATCACCCCATATTTCTAAACACAATAGCATGCAAGTGTTCTCTTATCTGTCAGACTCTTATCACTTGGCTACTAACTGAAATCCCATACTGTTAGCATATGACCTGTCCCCACAGGCTACAGCCCTGGCACAGCCAATGTTCCTGTGTGTGCAAAGCCATTGGAAAAGGCAGCCTCATCTCCCAAACACAGTGCACCTTGTGAGCTCTGCTGACAGGGTTCAGTGCCTTTACCTTTCTCCCCAAGTGCTCGTTTCCTCCAAAGGCATCTGGAAACTCATTAGCCATCTGTTTTCACACTTCTGTTCTCCAGTGGCCTATGACCTCCAGTTTCATCACAGGGTCTGCTGCCTAGAGAACTGTATCTTTTATTAACCTGAGTCATCATAGGATGTGGCTTATACAATTGACCTACCTGAACTTCTTAGAGCTCTCTTGTTATGGACCCATCTTGACCAGCAGCAGTTTCATGTGTGTGTGTGGCGGGGTGGAGCTTGGCATTCATGCTCAGCACCACTCTGGCCTGTTTTTTTCTTTTTTTACTGTGGCTGTCAGCTTAGTGTGAGGATGTACAAAGAGACCGCAGCATGGTAGTAGTGCAGGAGCCATGAACAAGTGTCTCAGTCTGTCTACACTGTCTTCCTTTGTAAAATGTGACTATAATGAAACATGCAACTCCAGCTTATGGGGGGCATTAAATTGGGATGCCTGCACATGTTCAGTGAGGAGGCTGCAGGGAGCCACTGAGAGAAGTCGAATGCTGTGACAGCCATCCTTCTCAGAACTGAGCATGTCATGTGATGCCAAGTGAGATGGTATATTCCAACATGAGGCTGGAAGAATGACTATATCCTTGGTGGGCACAAAGGATTCACAGGAGAAAGAGAAGAGAGGAAAGGAAAGGATGACAAGGTCGCTGGGCAGTTTGACTGTGTGTTGTATGGCAGCTTCCCTGTAATACTGTTAGTTAATGAGGTTGCATTTGTGTTACACATTAGAGCAGAAACCCTCTCAGGCCATCTCTACTCCAAGGCTCATTTGCAAATTTAATGGGAAGCAGAGCCCCTCCCTACCTCTTGTGGAAGGGTGTCTTTAATTAGTGATGATTGAAGTGTGGTGGAAGTCAGTTGTTTTGTTTAAATTGCTCAAATCTGCTCATCTAGGAGATCTCCTCACACAAGAGCCGACATCTGCAGAAGTGGATGAAGCTGTGATTAGGTGTGCTGGTGACCCTTCACAAAATACATGTGATCTCCGTTTTCAGACAAGACAGGGCCTGGCTCTTCACGTCTTTGTTAGTGATTAGCTATCTTGCTTTGTGTCTCACAGTGACTGCAGATGGCTTCTGCTTATTGTTGGGTTTAATGACTAGCCCCAGCCAGCTGTGAAGGCCAGGATATTTTAGAATTTGTTATCTACATCCTGGATATTTTCAGATTAGCTTTTGGAGTTCTGGGTATCTAGTTTATTTGGTTCACACCTCTGAGGTTTTCTGGGCTCTGCTGAATAAAATTGCCAGTGGGGATGAGGGTCATATCACAAATGATTTCCAGGGCCTCTGACCCTGATTCTGATTGGGTCTGGATGGAGTCCTTACAACTTCATTTATAGCTAGCTCACCAAGGATACCAAAGCTGGTGGTCCAAGGACCATACTTATAATTCTGCTTTATCCTTATATCTTGACACTTCTAAGAGATACTTTACTGTGGAGGTCTTATGCATGTACAGTCCTGTCCCTTCATGCCTCTATGACTTTGAACAAACTAGAGGTATTTGGCTCA